TTATGTCCTGACTGTCGATTGTTCTACAAGCTGTCTGCCCGCTGCCCTGGTGGATTTAGACGCCCCCTTGCAAGGAAGCCTACAGGGCCCGACTGCCTCCTGGAGGAAGAGACTTTGAGCTCCAAGCTGCATGGGGGTTCGAGCAGTGAGGGGCCTTCCTGACAGTGCTGGGTCAGGTCCCGGCTCCTGGAGAGGGTGAAAGTGCAGCTTGGGCTCCCTCCCTCTTCAGCGCCCTATGCCCTGGCCGCCTTGCCCTGCCAGGCTGGCTGATCCTGTCTGTCCCTGGGCTGGCTTGAGGCTGCAGCATCCCGCCCCTCCCTCACGCCCAGGGAGTACCCTTCGTGTGGCCAGGTCCCCAGATGTGGCCTTTAGACCACAGGCCCCACAGGAGATTCTGGCCCCAGCTAGGTCAGGACCCAGTAGTGGATCAGGTTCTGTGGGCGGGGGAGGGGGACTCTGGCCTTGGCTGTTTCAGAAAGGAGCTCGCCCTGGCTGAGGCGAAGGGGTGGGAAGAGCTGTGTAGTAGGCCAGGCTGCTGTGCCCGCAGGAGGTGGTATGGTCTGGGTCGGAGGGGTGGAGGTAGCAGAGACTGGGCATTGAGCATTGCCTGCTGGAAAAGGGGCTCAGGGGGGACCAGGTGGGAAGTCCTGGTTTCCGATCCCACAGTCCAGCCCCACACAGGGGTGAAGGACCAGGGGTAGGTTCGGGAAGACTGGGGGTCAGCAATGTGTGGGGCCAGGCAGTGGCAGGAGAGGAGAGGCGGGTTTGGTTCTGAGCTGGGAGGAATCCAGAAAGGGGTCCTGTCTTTGGAGCTCCGAGGTAGGTGTCATTGGGCCCTGTTGACTCTGGGCCTTTGCTTACTCAGCTGTGGGCCCCCTGTGTACTGGATGCCAGGTGCTGGAGGTGTCGATGGCCTCCGAGACCCTGGAGTGATGGGTTCGAATCTGTAGGCCGTCAGACAGGTGTCCAGGGAAGCAGGGCCCTGAGCTGAGGTCGGAGGGTGAGTGGGGAGGAGTGTCGGGTGGGGGAGGCGCTTAGAGGGGGCTGGTGGGGGCGGCCCTGTTTGTTTCCCAAAGCTGGAGGGAGGGGGGGTGAGAAGGCTGTGGCTGGGGCCAGAAGAGGGGGCGCAGAAAGCCCACAGCGGGTCTTGCTCTGAGAGGAATTCCGTTTCATTGATGTGTAAGTGGAGATGAAATTCTGCTTTATCATAGACGTTTCTGCCAGTCCCCACAGTCTTTTCCCCTTGTAATTGAGTCGTCAGTTACAACGTACACATCAGAGTAGGGACAGGGACCCGTGGTTTCAGTGGGTGATGGAAGGGGCCCGTGTGGTCCCAAGACCTGCAAGGGCCTTCCGGGGCTTCTGAGCGGGTGTGTGGGGAGGGGCCGTGGTGATGGGGCCGAGGGGACAAGCTGGCTGCTGGAACCGAGGTGTGGTCAGGCTGTAGGAGGCTAGGGTGCCC